AATCGGGTAGATCTTTGGAGGGGGGGAAGCATATATATATATATATATGCATATGTATATACATATGTGTATATATATATATATATACATACATACATATATATATATATATGTGCCTGTCTGTATGCACGCACCTTTTATGCGCATGTATATGTCGATCCATCGATCGATGTATCTTTCATTGTTTATTTCGTTGTTTAGTTACATATGTTTGTATTTATTTTTTGTCATCCTGTCATTTGTTTTGTTCCTTTGTTTGTTTCTATGCATCAATCTATGCATGAATGCATGTATGCTTGTATTAAGTATTTTGGAGTGTGTATATGTAAGCAAGATTACACACATATGCATGTACGTATGTTCGAACTTACGTATGCATGTATGTATGTATGTATGTATGTATGTACGTATGTATGTATGCGATTGCATACGTATGCATCTATGGATCTAGGTATTTGTGCACGTATGTGTATGTATGAACGTGTATGCAATTATGTGTGCATGTATGTATGTCTGTCTGTCTGTTTGTGCATATGTATGTATGTATGTTGTATGCATGCACGTATGTGTGTTTGTATGTATGTATGTATGTATGTATGTAAGTATGTATGTATGTATGTATGTATGTATGTATGTATGTATGTATGTGTGCTTGCATGTATGCATGCTTGTCTGCCTGCATGTATGTTGTCTGTGTATGTGTCTGCGTATGGGTATGTGTCTGTGTACGTGCATGTGCATATATATATATATATGTGTGTGTATGTGTGTGTGTGCTTATATGTACAAGTATATGTTTATATACACATATATACATATATATATATATATACATATGTATAGATATGCATTTTTGCATATATGATGTTCGGTATGATGCATGGTATGGTATGATATGCTTTGATATGGCACGATACGATATGATACGATACGATGTGGTGTGTCATGATTTGGTCTGACCTGGTGTGATATGTTATATGTTCTGACATATCTTGCATGGTATGAGGTATACGGTGTATCATATATAACCATAGACGCGAGAAGACGCATGGCCTCATTGTTGTTATGAAATATGATGTGATAAGTGATATGACATTGCTGGTATGATACGGTATGATATGGTATGATATGGTGCGATATGGCAGGGTATGAAATCTGAAATGATATGATATGGTATTTCCTGGTGGTTTATGGTATGATGCGATGTGTTGTGATATGTTATGATAGTATTTTGGTACATATTTACACACAAATGTTTCGGACGGAGGGTGCGCTGCAAGGGTTCAAAGCCAAGGTGCATAGTTTTAGGATGTATTATGTTGAATGGGCACCTGGTCCCAGGGTCATTTGGTCCTGAGAAAGCTCCAAGGCTCCACCCTAAGCCTGCTTTTAAGGCAAGCTTGCCCGATGATCACATCCCCTGCTTGGTGTATCCCCTCTTGTGTTCTCTGTCGTACGTTTCCTCCGGGCGAAGGAGCTGGGAACCAAGATGCAAGAACAGGAAGAGGAGCTTTGTGCTCAGGCGGGACAACGTTGGAATCCCTCCATTTGGGAGTTTCCGATATTAGGGGTACCTTATTTTGGGGTCCTTATAATAGGGATCCTACTATTTGGGGTACTATATTAGGGTCCCCTTATTTTTGGAAACCCCCATTTGGGAACCATCCGCGATTCTTAGGCTTTCGGATCTTCCGCATCTTTGGGAGACCAGCAGCAATTTGAAAGCAGGCTGCAGCCCTTTGCCCTTGGGGGTTAGGGTTAGGGCTTTAGGGGTTTAGGGGTTTAGGGCTTTAGGTTGTTAGGTTGTTAGGTTTTAGGGGTTTAGGGTTTTAGGGAACCTTCCATGGTTCGACCTAATAATGTAGGTTGGCGAGTTGTCAAGTCACAGGTCTGCTGACCGACACTGTTCTTGTCACAATCAGATTCCTTAGGCCCACCATAATCTCTATGTGTCGTATCACGATGTGGCCAGCCAAGGGCATCAAGTAGTCAATACGTGCTTGAAAAGCATCCAAAGTGGTTTTTTGTCTTCAGGTGGAGGACGAGAGTTTCGGTCAGCGGCTGCAGGTGGGCGTTGCAGCGTGTGGGGTTTATGGTTCGGGATTGCAGGCTTGGGAAGTGTTGATAGTGTTTGTGAGTTTGATGGTTCATTATATTGAAGCGATTTGTGTTGTATGCGGAAGAGAGCGAAGCTGTGTGGCAGTGCGTATACCAGCACTAGCTTGGCTGTAGCACGTTGCACAAAGCTTTCGGACATATCGGTTCGGATATTTCAGTGGGGAGCAGGCGGTGAATCAAACAAACCAAAAGAGTCTCACCCTAACTCTACTCCGCGCAAACACGAAACCCCGGAGATCTGCACGGTTCTGTCATATGCCGTGGCCTCCCGAAGCCGCAGAAACCCTAAAATATCTGAAACCGCGAAGCTCGCCAACATCCAAACATCTTCACACCCCTCAACCCCCCAAAGTGTTCCTAAGCCTTTGAAGCCTGCAGCTTCTACCTGGCAGTCTCCATAAACCAATGAAGTGCTCAATGCAATCCCGCCACTGAACACCCCACAAGCGCCGAAAAGCCTAGGATGAGGCCCTGGATGCAACAGCTTTGTGAAAACGAAAGCACCTGAAGACCCTTTCCGGAAGTGCAACCCACCAATATCGTAAGCCCTACACCACTAAGCAGGAAACTTTGGATACATGAAGCCACTACCTCGGCTACGCGGATCCCTATCTTCAACAGACCGCAAAAAACAGTAGGACCGGGTTTGCACAGAAGAACCCGATTTTTGTGTGAGCCTAATTAAACCCTCCATCCTTTTCCCCTTAATTAAACCCTAAGCCCCTAAACCCTTCTTGAACCCGAAAACCGTAAATCCTAAACCCCTAAACCCTAAACCTGAAACTCTAAATCCTCAGAGAAACCAGAAACTTCAGATCCTAAACTCTTAAACCCTAAACCCTAAACCCGACACTCTACACCCTCAGAAAAACTCGAAACTTTAGATCCAGAGCCCTAAACCCCAAACCATCCTAAACCCGAAACTTTAGATCCTAAACTCTAAACCCCAAACCATCCTCAACCCGAAACTTTAGATCCTAAACTCTAAACCCTAAACCCTAAACCCGAAACTTAAGACCCTAAACCCTAAACCCCAAACCATCCTAAGCCCGAAACTTGAGATCCTAAACTCTATAAACCCTAAACCCTAAACCCGAAACTTAAGACCCTAAACCCTAAACCCCAAACCATCCTAAGCCCGAAACTTGAGATCCTAAACTCTAAACCCTAAACCCTAAACCCTAAACTTTAGACCCTAAACCCTAAACCCTAAACTCCTGAAAGCGGAAGCCCTCGAGGCTGCCGCCGCGCTGCTGCGATCGGCGCTGCTCCGCTCGCGGGGTCGGGCCGGGTCCTTGCCTTTTAAAGCAAAAAAAAGACTGAAGAGGGTTTAGGGTTTAGGGTTTATAGGGTTTAGGGTTTAGGGTTTAGGGTTTAGGGTTTAGGGTTTAAGGGTTTTGGGGTTTAGGATTTAGGGGCTTAGGGGTTTAGGGGGGTTTAGGGGTTTTGGGAGTTTTTGCGGTTTGGGGTTTTGGGATTTGGGGTTTACAGGTTTAGGGTGTAGGGGTTTATAGGGTGTAGGATTTAGGGGTTTAGGGGGGGTTTAGGATTTGAGGGGTTTAGGGGTTGAGGGAGTTTGGGGTTTATAGGGTTAGGGGTTTCCGGGTTTAGGGTTCCGGGGTTTAGGGTTGAGGGATTTAGGGTTGAGGGGTTTCCGGGTTTAGGGTTGAGGGTTTAGGGTTGAGGCCCTCTGGGATGTCAAGCATAAGAATGTCGCTCTGAGCCCTCATCCCTCCAACCTAAACCATGATAACCATGAACCCTGAACCCGAAACATCCTTCCGCTTAAGCCTGTAACTAACCCTGAGCCTTCAAACCCTATAAAAAGCCATAAACCCGAAATCCCAAACTCTGAAACCTCAACCCCTGCAGGGTTTACCCATAGGCCCCATAGTAGTTCCTTTTTGTGGATTATATTTAGGATCCTATTAGGGAATCCCAAAAAGGAACTACTATGGGGCCTACGGGTAGTAAGGTCTTGCGAGAAGCATTTACTGAGCTCGCCCTCCACTCGCGCCTGGAGGTGCGCGCCGGAGCTTTCGGGCTTTTGGCGTCCAGGGTTTTTAGGACTTGACCCTAAACCCTAAACCCCTATATTAACCCTAACCCCTAAACCCTAAACCCCTATATAAACCCTAGCCCTAAACCCTAAACCCTAAACTGTTTAGTTTTTGCGGTGTTGGTTGAGTTTAGGGTTTCATGCGGATCTGAGTTAGACTCTTCTCTTGGGGGCTCCTGGTGCCTGTGGCGCTTGGGCTTTCCACCTATAGGCTGCCCAACTACCCCCAATATACCTTAGATTTTGATACACACTACTATAAGGCTCCATTAAAGGAACCCTAAACCCTAAACCCTAAACCCTAAACCCTAAACCGACTTGGGAGGTGATGGTAGAGCTTTCAGGTTTAGGGGCTCTGGGCTCAGGGGGCGGTTAATCATGGGGCTTTTAGTAACCATGCTGGGTTGAAAAAGAGGGGCTTATGCCCAAAACTTATAGGCCTGAGAATGAAGCTTGCAACATTGTAAGTGTTGCTAGACTCCAGGGAATAAGAGCCCTGAGCCCTAAACCCCAAACCCTGAACCCTAAACCCTACCAATGTGTGTATGCTTTTCTGCATGCACCAGTATCCTGGTACGGGGGGTTTCCGAAAATAGGGGACCCTAATACAGTACCCCAAAGTAGTAGGATCCTTATCATAAGGACCCCAACGTAAGGTACCCTAAACCCCTAAACCCTAAACCCTAAACCCTAAACCCTAAACCCTAAACCCTAAAACCCTAAACCGTATAAGGTACCCCTAACTTTCGAAAACCCCCAAATGTGGAGCTCAAGCCGGTTCCTGAAGGCCTGGGCTTTTCTTTAGGGGCCGAAATAATTACCGATACTATGGGGGTTCCCTATTAGGGTTTAGGGTTTAGGGTTTAGGGTTTAGGGATTAGGGATTTAGGAGTTCACGAGTTTTTGTTGGAGTCAAGGCTTGTGTTTAAGCTGAGGAGATCGGAAGA